TTTATCGTTTTATATTTTTATGTGTATTTGTGAGGGTTTAGGCTCTCTTATGCTAGGGTTTAGGTTCCCATTAAAGGGTTTAGTATCCCTTAAAATATAGGGTTCAAATGGTTGACATGTTAAAGAAACAAACTGAGAGGAATTGACTTTTCCATTCATTTACTCTAAAAATCTACCATTCAGGATGAAAATTTTCTTCCAAATTTTATTAGGCCCCATCAAAATAGAGAAAAATAAGTTTTATTTCTCTAGAACTGTTACTCTCCAAAACATGAGAGGAATACCGTGGTGGAAAAAGGTTTATTCCACTCCATTTTTTTCATTTATTTTTTTTCCTCTAATTCCTCTCACTCCCACCATTTGCACCCATAGTTTTTCTTATAATTCTTCTTAATTTTATATGTTTTCTTCAAAAAGAATACTAATGAAAAATATAATTATATAAAAACATTTGTTGTAATTAATGATATTATATGAGGGTATTGGAAAAAGAGGATAACAATGATAGTGAACAAAAATTTGAAGTATAATAAAAAAGAATTGGTTATCTTCAAAATGAATAAAAAATTACATCTTATATACGTAAATTTACGAGGTTAAGGCTTTCATTTTAGATTTCAAAGATCTGGTTTGCAGATCTCAAAGGTTTTGCTCGAAGATCTTAAACTAAAAATATTTAATATATCATGACATATAACATTTTAGGGAATATAACTATTTCATAGAATTTTATATGTATAATAGATTGCCTAGTTTATATGTATTTTTGTAGAAGCCAATTACGTGGCAAATGTGTTGGCAAAATAAGCTTTGAGTTTGTTTGAGTTTGTTTGTAGAAAACCCAATTTCAGTTCATATAAAATCTTTGTTTTATATATATTTTTTTTGTTTGCTAATAGACTCCAAATTATCCGATGTAAGTTATTCCAGTTTCTAAATCAAATCAAATTTAAAATAAGTCCGTGCCTTAATACTAGTAGGATTATATTCACCTAGTTTGTAATATGAGCAAAGTGGGAAACATGCAAATACAAGAAAATGTCGGAATAGAGAGGTTCGGCTGCAGGCTATAATTCACCAAAAGACATATTTCTAAAATCCGAATTTAAGGGAGCCCAACAAAATCTGCGACCAAGATTTGAGTAAAGTCAAATTACACAAGATTGGTCCACTAAGCCATGAGAGCAGGTCCATACAGATAACACAAGTTTGGATAAAGTAAGCTAACAGTTGCTCTCCTAGAGAACTAACTACTCACTCTCCTTGCTGCAATAATACCTGACTACGGTACTCCCCCAGTGCCCATATTGGGAAAATGTTTCGATACGCAGCGTAAGTTATCATGCAGTTCTTGTTGAATACTCCCATTATTTCCTGTGAGAGAGAGAGGAGAGAGCCAAGAGATTAATTAACCAAGAGAAACTCTAAACACCAATGCGGTTGATGCAACTTGT